CTTAGATTGGTCATTTAGGGCCTTTAGAGCCTTGCATGTGCGTAAAGTTTGCAACTTTACGTGATAAACATGCCTTAGAAGCTTGGATCTGTAATCTGGAACCTTGCCATGGCTTAAAAAGCGTCTGCATGGATGAAGGTCTGCAAGGACTCGGCGAGTTGAATGAACAACTCGGCGAGCCCGTTGAAGATGGCCATGAACTCGACGAGTTGGATGAACAACTCGGCGAGTCCGTTGAAGATTGCCTCCGTTCTACAAGATATCGTATGGACATGAGACATGGATTATAATGATTCTCTCTGTCCAAGGTTTGTTTCCCGGTTTCCGATTTATGACGACTGACTAATTGAAGAAATCAAATCAGTACAGGCTTGGCCAAGCGTTTCCAGTGTCATCACTAAATCGTCGAGGGGTCCACAAATATCGCTTTTATCCCATTAAGGGTAAAAGGAACGGATAAACTTCGACTCATATGCTTGTACAATTTACTCATCAAATCACACACAACAATACGCTTTATAACATCACGTTACTGATGTATTTACGTATTATCAATGCGCAACCGACTCGTAAACAACAACTATATGTCTCCGTTTCAAGAATATAAGATATTATCGTCTCACAATCACTCGTGATAAAATCCATGAAGTGATTCAAATGAGCGTGGGTTTAATCCAATACTCAAATTCTTATTTCAGGAGTACTCATGAACACTGCAACAAACTTGTGCTATGTCTAAGCATTTAGACATTCTATAGTCGGATTCATGACAGTCTTAATTCACTACTTACTTCCAAAGTATGATCGACTATGGATATTTGAATAATCTTATTATTCGGGAAGTAAAACATGCGAAGTGTAACACAAGAATAACCTAATCCAATATGGTATCAAAACTTTTGAATATAAATAAAACACTTATTATTTAATCACTATATTAATTAGACCTTGTTCATTGTATAATGTTTCTACTAATCAACTAAATACTTGAATTAAAACATTAGTCATGCCATGCACAAAACACGCATACTACGTTTATCTATGGTCCTTTCTTTGTGAAATAGATCAATTGAACACATTTCCAATGATGCTCATTTCACAATTCCCTAATCCTCATTATAAGTGTAAGAATACATAATTCTTGACACTAATAGAATGTGTTGGATTCTAAACTCACATGTAATGATCCTTTTGTAATGTCAAGGCTATAAAGTCACAGAGACTTTGCCAATGATATTATAAAGCATTCCATTTGTGATTGGTTACAAAACCAATCCCATGGAGATGAAGTCTCACATTCAAAGTACATTCCTTTGAGAACGCAATTCGAACTATGAAAAGAGATGTCGTAATCATACTCGAATTTGAGAACGTAATTATCACAACTGCTAACTCTTTAAAATCTACTAGTGAAAGCGTTTCCTCACAATCATTTTCATGAAGTAGAGAGAAACCTCTTACCACTTAGATTTTATTGTGTATGTGTTCCTATCCATGTGAATTTCTTTTCTCCAACCACTATCATAAGACAAGGTTTATGACAAATCCAAACTCAAATGGACCGAACTTGTTTAATATTAATTTCTTGCCATCCGGTAGCACAAGGGCCTACCAATGCTTCCAAGTTATTGAGTAGCTCACCCATACAGATCAATGTACTTTCACTGATCAAGGTGCTTTGCCTTACGCAGTCAAATGAGAACTCATAGAACTCACACACATAGTCAACTTAACTGGAATGGGCATAGAAACAAGAATATGTCAACACGATAGGTTATCAACCTCAGGTCGTGTGCTAGTGATTACTAAAGGTTTATTCTTGATCAGTTCCTGAAACTATTCAAGACATTTAAGACTCCCACCGACTTCTTGACATATAAGATTCTTTGTCAAGAAACATTATTTGACAACCAAATATTCAAGAGTTAGTGTGGGTTCTTATCAAGAAAACACTTCATATAATTCGTCTTAGTTGGTCTTTGTTTTTAACCAAAACATCACAACTACCAATTTCAAATGTGCAAAAGTAAGAAAACATTTCTACTCCACATTTCATGAGGTGTTATAAACACTACAAGAAAAAGACCCTTTTACGACGCGCAAACCACGACACTCATTGATTTATGTTACGCAAAAGAGAGTGACATTAAAAAAGTGTCATCTCTTCAAAAAATTTAAGGATTTAGGTCACACATTATTGCGCGCTAGTGTCTCATTTAAAAAAAAAAAACACGGAGGGCACTTTATCTAAAATGTGCGTCCTCTGTGAATGTCGTTTTATATTTTTGTAAGAAACGCGCGTCTCGTTAGAGGGAAAATGAAATCCCCAAATTTTTTAAACCCCCGCCTTCTTCTCCCTCGCCTCCACTGGATCAATCGCTTCACATCATGTTTAAGGTTAAGGGTTTGAGATTTCTTCCAAATCGATCCTCACACTAAATGGTTCGGCGACTGCAACTCCTTTCGATTGTAGCGCCGATCGACAACTACGACTCATCAACCGTCAATCGAAGCTACCAGTTGAACAACCCCTAATCGACACCTCCACCTTCTTGTCTTTCCTTCTCCACCAGGTTTTTTCTCATCTCTATCCTCCACCATATGAAGATTTACGAAGATGTGAAGGGGGTAACCGAAGGAAACCCTAAATCCCTCTCGCAGTCGACCACTACAACCCTAAATCTCTCTTCTTTACGATAGAAAATATTTTTGATGGATTGTCCAGATTCTGGATCCTGGGATGTTCGGTGCAAGCGCTTTCCAAGTTCTTGGTTTCCTTCCTGAGTCGTTGATACTTCTCGGTATGTTCCTTCATTATCTTAGTTTCTCTCGATACCCTCAATCGATCCGGACCCACAAATTGAAAATGTTAAATACCTAAAGACTCCCCATTGGAAATTTCCGGGTCTTGGCATGTGCGTTTTTGGGTGCTTGTTGATTTTAGGGATTTTTCTTTGCAATTGCATGTTCTATGTGCCTGGTTTGGGATTATTATTATTTTGTTTCTTATTCTCTCTTTTAACTCCTAGCTTGCTCGTTAGATTGGTTATAATTTTTCTTGAAGTTTTATCTTTTATGTATTGTTTCATGTTTCTGTATAGCTGATTGGTGCTACCTTTTGTGATCCTTGATTTACAAGCTAGGAGTTCAATGTTTTAACAGAAATTCTCACTTTATGGTGGATAGTTAAAATTCTCTCTTTTAGCAGAATCTGAGTAAAGAATCTATAGAGCCTAGATGGAAACCTGGGATGCAGGGACATGAGAATAAGGGTGGCAGAGGAAACTACTCATCTCGCCACATGTCTAATGGTAATTCACCATATAAGATGCAGGTGGTGGAAGAACAGCTCTTTCTGCAAAGCAAAACGGGATAATCAATAAAGGTGCAGAGGAAGGGGCAAATCAGTCAATTCCTCAGGGTCAGAAGAGTATGTGAACTAATTGTTTTCCAGGGACAAATTAAGGCTAAACGACTTGCTTCTTTGACATCTTCTTTGCTAAAGTTAAATGTAAGAGACCCAATATTGTCATTTTCCATAAAAACATATATTTTGTGTGATTTCATATTTATGTTTAACTTAAAATTATTTTTTCTAGCATATTAAGTGAACCTATCTCACAAGAGGGCTGCTATTGATAAAATATTGGAGGGTCTTAACAAGACAATTGCAGTGGTGGAAAAGTCCAAATCTTTAAATAAATTTTGCATAACATGTTTTTTTCTTTGGGGAAGTTAGCTGTATAAAAGGTAAACTGCTTGCTATATAAATCTTATGTTATTTTTTTCTTATAAAAATCAAACATGAAGTGAAAGACACCAAATAAATCTGGAGATCCATACAAGACAATGTTTGTTGCTTGGCTTGTGAGCATTACTCTCTTTTGCATTGATTCCTTTTAAGGCTTTATGTCTTTTTAGTTTCTTGATTTAAATAAATTAATGTTTCTTTTTTAAACGTTCAGAACTATGAGACAACAGAGAACAAAAATAAAAGGGAGTTTGAGGCATATGGGCCAATCAAACAGGTAGATTTTGTAGAGTACCCTAAAAAGGGGCTCAAGGTCATAGCCTTTTGTTCGGTAAGAGGTTTGATTTTGTGGTACATAGAAAACATCCTCATCAAGTTGTCTGCAAAACATCTTTCAGAAACAAATAATGAACATATGTTTCACAAAAACTAATTTGCGAATCAAGAAAGGGATTTGTCTCCACATATATAAAATCACTTTTCATACCTAAGCATTTATCTACAAAATTATATAATCATCACAAGAGGCTACTTTCACATCTACGAAACATTAAATAATATTATACTTCACTAATTAAATTTCATGTAGTTTAGTAAAGTAGTCATATCATATATGTTTGCTAAATACCATTTACAGTTTAAGTCTCTTATTCACATTTTAACATCTTATCCTTTATTTTTATCGAATTAATTTATTTTAGCAATATACTTCAAATCTTATAATTATTAAATGACTATGTTAATATAGTCTTTCTAAAATAATTATCAATATAGTCTTTCTAATATAATTCAAACTCTATTCTAATGGTTAAATACGCCTCATAACTTAACGATTGTTATTATGATTATTATTATTAATGGTTGTTATTATGATTATTATTATTAAACTAGACAAAAACCATTGTAAGCAATAAATAATATAGACTCTATTACTTGAGTACTCATACAAAAGAGTCTACATTATGCTATATATAGATCAGTTATATAATAATAAAGCCTAAAACCATATACGTTTGATCCCATTATCCCATATACACCAATTCTATAGCTTCAATTCCCCATAACTATAACCATATTAGAAAATCTTCAAATCCATTTTACTCTATTACAATTTCCGACAATCCTCCCTTTCTATTGAACCCACCTCCAAACTATTGAATCCCGCAGCACTTGTATCATAATCGATCTTTCAAGTTTTCCTTTGCCTCAAGGTCCGGCAGAGGATACATGGAATCAAATCTAGCAAGAAATGAAGAAGGTATATTTGATACTTTTCCCCCTCATCCCAAAAGTAGTTGTGGTTTGACTTTATGGTCAAACCTATTGAAATTTTGCATCAAAAATTGGAATGGTTTAACATTTGTTATCTTACCCATTTTGTTCAGGTTTGGGCTTCTAAATGGAATGAAAGAGCATATAAAAACAGGAATCATGATACATTATGCATTGGTATTTTGATTCAAGAACATATTAGAGCTGATTATGCCTTTGTCACATACACAAATCATCCTGTGTCTCGTGACTCCTCACAGATATACACAGATGTAAGTCTCATATTTATGGTTGCTTTTGTTTAGGGCTATTTTCAATTATGAGAATGTGAATAGTATCTAATTCCCTGTTGACACCTCATCTTTTTCAGCATGAAACAATACATTAACCTAATGTTTTTTTTCAGGATGCAGCTTCTCGGGGAATTGCTGGTGTAGGCTTTGATGTTGTGCAATACGGGTAATGTAATTGTAATCATTTCTTCATTATTTTGACTAATTTCTTTTTGGGTGTTATGATCTTGTTAATTATTTTCAGTGGTGTTTTCGTAGATTAGCATCTACTCCAGCAATGTTCAATAGAAATGGTTTTAAATTCTTTACTAATGAAGACTTTCTATGTCCAGTTGATGGAGCTATCATGATAACAGCAAGCCATCTTCCTTATAATAGAAATGGTTTTAAATTCTTTACTAATGAAGGAGGCCTTGGAAAACCCGACATTAAAGACATTCTGGAGCATGCTGCAAACATATACAATGGATTTACACCAGAATCTCTAGAAGAGGCAGAAAGAAAAGTTTCATCTTCCATCACTAAAGTTGACTACATGGCTATTTACGCTTCTAACCTTGTAACAGCAGTTCGCAAAGCTTCAGGAAACATAGGTATATGTGAAGATTACTTTTTTTTTTCTTTCTCTCATGCTTATTTTCTTACTTGCTGTGAATTACAGAAAAGCCATTAGAAGGATTTCATATAGTTGTGGATGCTGGGAATGGAGCTGGTGGTGTTTTTGCTGTAAGTTATCTTTTAGCATGTGTACATAATTGTTTACCTAGGTTCTCATCTCATGTACAACTTACCCACCATAACAAAACCAACATCAGGTTAGATTGTGACTTGTGAGGGTTAATGGAGCAGGAATGCCACCAATGGATGCAATGTCTGATGTGGGACTGGGAATTTTTAAAAGATAAACAACCGGAAGCAGAAGCATCAGAGGGCCATGACGAATCACAGATCTTATCAAATGAAAAGAAAAGAGATGGGGGATCGCATGCTTCTTTTGATTTGTCAAAGCCTCCACCTGGACCTGGTTAGTGTCCTTCTTAAACTATACCTACCTGTACAAAGCTAAGGTAGTGTTCAGTATGATTGAATCAGGGATGGAATTTAATGGTTACTTGCTTTTGGTCCCTGAGTATAACTGATTTTTTCAGTTTTGCTCCCACTAATACAACCATTTTACTTGGAACAGTTGCTCATAGGATTCCAACTGTTATAGACAGTGACATGGTCATGGTCCTTTCCTCTGGTATATATCTTATTCTTCAGAAACCCATATATCTCATAAAATGACACAATTACCCTCTACAAAATAGTAAAATTTCATGTATAATAGGTGAAATGATGGAATATGATGCGCCCTCCAAGCTAATGGAGTCAGATTCTTATTTCTCAAAGCTTGTTGCTGAGTACTAGTCCAGCTGCAGGAGATGATCCACGGGTAATTTCTTTTTAAGTTAAAAGTAAAAGTAAAATTTCTTATTATTCCTTATATGTATATATGTATATGTATGTGTATATATGTATACACATATACATATATCTATTAATTCATTATTCTTTATGAAGATTTGAACTTGATAGTAGATGATAATAATGGAAATCTGGAAGAAAAATATGCAAGTTTTACAAAAATTTCAAAAGGGTATTTTGGGTATTACATAGGGAGGGATCTTATAACATTGTAACATAATAACATTGTAAAATGGAAACACTGCAGGAGAAATTGAAGCCGTTGGAGAGATTTTGCCTGCAACGAGTCTGAATCCCACCACGTATGACATTGGGATAACCAGAATCATATATGTCTCTCCGCTCATCCATTATACTCATACCTAAGAAGCAGAACCAAACCTTTCTTTCTCAATCTTGGGTAGGTTTTTCTATTTTTTTTTAATTGCTTACTGTCATATGCTTTACTTTTTTCATTTAACATGTGCAGTGGTTAATTTGTTTGTGTTTGATATAGTTTGATTGTCATTATATATAACAAGTGAGTTGTCCTATTTGAATCTGAAGTTTATTATTGATACGAAATAGGGATTTCATCATTCATATACCGGACTCAAAATTATTAAGAAAGTGAAAAATCTAGGTCTTTTTTTTCTTAGGTTCTGTCTTTAGACTCTGAAGTGTTTGATTTGTTGCGTAAGTGGAGGGTCATAATCTTTTTATCAGAACACAATGTCAATTGATTGAGAGTTTTTATAACAAGGTCTTATCTTTTTGTTAAGAATATATGACGTCTGTATCGTTTGTAGAGAGTTTAGGGTAAACCTTATCACATCTCAAATTTGAGCACTTTTAGCATCTGACTCTTTAACTATCATGAATCATCACAATTTTATGGTTCTAGGTTAAAGGATCTGAAATATTAATTTATGGTGGAGGTCCTGTTGCATATACTTCACAACATATGAGTCAAGTTATTTTATTATTGGTGCCTTTTGTATGTCAATTCAGCAACTTGTCTGCAAATTCTGAAATTTGTAGTAATTTTCTCATGTTTATGGTAACAATGGTGGACAGCACTAAACAAATTTCATCTAGGATGTTTTTCAAATCGACTATAGGTCCTTCAACTTCAAGCTTCTTATTTGTACCGATTTGCCATGTGCAGGTTCTGACAGCTCTAGCAACCTCCTTCCATGCCCTGCAGCCTCTCAAAGTTCCTGCATTCAAGTTATTCTCTTAGAAAGGAAATTGTCAAAGGAGATTCTCAAAGGAGAATTTAGTCATGGGTTTCTTTTAATGTTGTATATGTTTTGTTTTCTATAATAAATATTATGCAATATTAGCAATGTGTTACATTTACTTATTATTGGAATGATTATTTGTATTTGACATATTAGTGCAATGAATTATCTTTATTGTTTATGGTATTTTATTTTGTATTATGAGACTTTTAATGTGTTATTTAATTTGAAAATTAGTAAATCTATCAAAAATATATAATTTTAAAAACATTTAAAATTATGACACACAAAATGCGTGTCATCTTCCTTTATGATAGGGGCTTCCTTGATACGCACTGCGTGTCATAAACACGCGCGTCGTAAGGTTACGACACGCAAATGCATGTCGTCTTCCTTTATGACAGGGCCTTCCTTGATACGCAATGCGTGTCATAACTGCGCGTCGTAAATGTGTGTCATAAATGCGCGTCGTAAATAGATGACGCGCAAAAGCGTGTCGTCTCTCGTTATGACAGGGCCTTCCTTGACACGCATTTGAACGTCGTCTGAGCATTTTACGACACACATTGCGCGTCGTAAAAGGCTGTTTTCTAGTAGTGAAACCTACTTAGAATATGTTACTCAAGGTACAACTTGAAGTGACTTAGAGCATAACTCTAAAATTTGATTTTGGAACGAAGTACGACTCATCCTTTTGATTTAACCATTTCAACAATTCCCGATACCTCTTCTTAGTCATGTAAATGCACTAAGATGTCCTTAGAGGATCAATTGTGACATGGTTCCATAATCATTAGGATGATCATAAACCAAGATACCAAAGTATTATTCTTTCCTTTCAGATTGGAGAAACTTTTATCTTTCTGCCTAATTGATTCTTCTTATTTAGTCTTCTATACTTTGAAACTTTTCAAGGTATTAAAATTACACTTAATCTTATAAGCATAACCATATTTACTAAGCCTTTAGTAAATCATGACGAATAGACTTATTGTCATTTGTGGTGGATCTGACCAGTTCACATCAATGTGTAGTAGATCCTTTAGTCCTTCACTTGACTCACATATACATGTGAACAAGGAATTAGTCTTAATTTCCAAAGATCAAGATTCTCATGCATTATACAATTCGTATCGCATGATTCCAAGTTTTTGTCCGGTTGAAACTTGAGCGATGAGAATCCTTCCTCACTTGGTAAATTATGACACTACCACAAGCGATATCACTAAGAATCAAAACATTTTCAACATTGCTATTAATAGAAATATAAACATCAATTTTCATAAATGCCATTGCAAGGAAATAGAAAATAAAACAAACAATTCATTTTATTGATAATGTACGGAAAACTTGTCCTTACAATGCAAATACATATGAAAACTATATTTCTAGATATTCCTAAGCAATCTATCATAACGCCTAAGCAGCAGCTCAAAAATTCTGATCATCGAACCATGCGATCGAAATCCATCTCTTCACGATCAGAATCAGCCTTTACTTTCTTTAAGCTTCCTTCTTTCTCTTAGATTCTGCAAAACATCAAAATGCAACTTTACATCATGTAATAAGAATCTATAAATAGGAACTTATTAGAGTTAGATAGTGAATGTACCTGAAGCAGAGTCATAGAATTTGACTTTACTATCTCTTAGATCTCTCAGGTAGTTAGGGCATATTCGCTTCCAATGCCCATTCAATTGGCAGTAGAAACAAATGGACTCTTTAGGAGTGACACGTGGAACAATCTCATAGTTGGCCTTTCTCTTAAGGTCAAACTTTTTGACTTTGGCCAATTTCTCTCGATTAGGAGAATAAATCATTTCTGGACTATCAACGTTGTCATTGCCTATGTCCATGGAAATTTAGGAAGTAGATCTTCCAAACAAATTTGCTTGACCAGTACGCCAAAGCATTGCTCCTTCAGCAGCAATCAGCAAATACGTCAGATCGATAAGGGTCACGTCGTGGTCTGTCATATAGTAGTCTTTAACAAACTGACTATACGACTCCAAAAGCGATTGAAGAACCAAGCCAACAACCAGCTTCCTTGGGAATACGACACCCAACATTCCCAGTCTGTCAATGTGCATCTTTATCTTTATAACGTGTGCACACACAAGACTTCCATCTCGATGCTTGCATGCCAATAGGGCTTGAGTGACCTTGAACTTTTCAAGTCGACGAAAACGTGGGTCAGGGAGAATCACTGGAGGAGGTGGAGGAAGTGAAGTATGATTTCCAGTTCCACCAATGCACGAAGAAGGGATTGATCTTTCACCTCGATCGAAACGTGGAATATCATGTTTATGAGGAAAGCTTTTTCCAAAAGGATAAAGAAGACCATAGTTGTCAGAACTAGACATCTACAAGGGAGAAAATTCAAGTTAGTTGATTTAATCCTTAATATAACACCCAAATGAAATATTAAGGCTAGGACCCAACACAATAATTTACAATTCGAAAGAGGGATGTCGTAATCCAATTGCAAATTTATTTGAAGGTAGGTAAATGACGATTTACCAATTCCACCATGAAAACAAAATTTTAGCGAATTAGGTTTTAGATGAAATTCCTAGTTCTTTTGAGATTCATTGAACTTTTCAATGGCATGTTTAATCTCGATTACGCCCTTCAAGTTTGTGACTG